CCTCGCGGAGCAAGCTTAATGAGCTTATACGTGCCGGATCAAGGACCCCATCACTAGCTAATAAGTTGTTGATGGGCTAAGAAACTGTGCTAGAGTCCTAACTACGCCAAAGGAAAGTTTAGACGCCACGCGATGCTAGCTAACTTCCGAAACTTATAGATATCGTCTAGGAAAAATGCAGTTTGCCTATCGGTACCAATTAAGTCCAGCCTGAAACGGTGTTTACTTCTATTATACCACGACTATACTGGCTTTAGGCACTGCAAGTGTCCTAATTCTATCTTGCGCAACAACCTATAGAAAAAGGGCACAATCTAATTAAACATATTAGCCATTTGCTTTTATTTGTTATTGTCATGTTTTCCATGGTTCATCGTTCTGTTGTGGACGTTGGTTGCTTGTTACTGTTGTCGAATATCTAGAGTATCACCACACGGAACAATCGAGCCACGGGGCCTGTGGAGTTCCTTAGTCCCTGGGTTAACTTCACCTAGTTTCCTCGTTTATCATCATTAATATCGCTATCTCGTCTAAACCCACGTCTTTCCGCATTCGGCTAACATGGCATGTTTCACTGCCCTTTGTTTGTCCATTTTCAATCATCGACCTCATAATGAATTTCGTCTGCAAGAACCTTCGTCTGCTCATTATCAATTACCGTTTTGTGTTACCTGCTATTCGTAGTTGTAGCTGTTTGCAGTTACGTTTCGTTGATGTGTTTCATTAACATCTTCGTAGTTTATCTTCTAGTGCTTATCTGCTCCTGTTTCTCTTTCTTCTTTGTCGTCTGCTAGTAAATGTTACATCACGGCTGTTTTTCTATAATCGGCTCTGTATTGTGTTGTTACTGTTCGTGTTGATACTGCTGTTTGTATGCCTGTCTGTGTGTTTGTTCATCCCGTAACTATCTATATGACACACAGGAAAAACCGTTCTCGAAATCAGAGGCGACCGCAACAGTCAAACAGAACAGGTTCAGTTATCCCTGGCGCATTTTCCTGCTTTCATTGTCATCTCATTTGCTGGCTAGCTCCTTCAAAACTTGTCAAACTCACATCAGATTCTATTCCATTTCGTCCACGTGCTTGCCTCATGAAGGCTTTGCATGACATACACACGACGCTGCATTTGTTAGGCGCCGAAACAAGAGGAGATTGGAGAGTCGTCGTGGGCTGTTGTGATCAACCAGCGAATTGGCTGCGGCGCGAACCAATACGACCCAGCTACCAGTTGATCGTGTCTGTCTCGTTGACGATTTCCCTTTCTCCCTCCCTACCTTTGGGCATGTAGTTGTTCTATGCTTCTCTCTATGCTGTCGTCATCATCGTCGTTATCGTTGCTGTTGTTGGTGTTGCTCACGTGTTCTCACGCACACTCACGCATCTGTTACTACCTGGTCGCTTATCAAGATCGGGCTTCCTCGACTTTGTGGCTGGCACAGGTTTTCGATCGTTCTAGTGCTTGCTATGACGTTGCCAATTGGCCACCTGCTGAAATAACGTGCCGTAACATCACGACTCGCTAGTCAGTATTACTCTTCGTCTCCACTAAATACATATATATATATATATATATATATATAGTAATTAAACTTGAATGAGAGGGAAATGAACAAGGATGAGCGGAAGGTGGCCACCATCGTTGCAATTTCGCCGCCCTATCTCCAGGCCTATCTAAATAGGATATTCAGATAGGGAAACGATAAATGATCGTGTCGAATATAATGTTACAGATGTGTTGTAGGCCAACACAGACATGCAAATACACCGAATGCGTCCTCGCTGTTGTTCACAGAAACTAACAGTCAGACATTCGTTTTGGGTTTTTTGGGTTTGACGTTTTTGGGTTGAGACAGCCATTGACAAACAACTCGCGGCTACTTCCCATACCGCATTTTCATATCTATTGCTGTTCGTCTACGGTCTATTGTTATGGCAGTTAATTTCCTTAATTCATTACTGTAGGCTGGCATAAGAGGAGAAAGAATTCCATCTATCAACCAGGCGTGCATGAGTATAGCCTTTTTCGGTATTATTATGGTATTGTTTTTGTAATTTGCCGCGCCACATTCCGACTGAGAGATTCGAACGGGGAAGACCTGCTATGCAAATCGAGTTATCCCTGCCATGCGAATTAGGCAAGCCATTTAGAAATTGAAGAACCATCTTGAATGCTCCAAATGAGCTTGCAAAAGTCGTATACGTATAGAGAGAGAGAGAGAGAGAGAGAGAGAGAGAGAGAGAGAGAGAGAGAGAGAGAGAGAGAGAGAGGCAGATTGCTTTAACTGATAGTTCAGCGAGGATTTTGACCAAATCTAATCCTCCTCGACGCCATATTACCCATCCCGAATCTATTTGCCGACCCCGGTTACCCTGTGGTTAGTTAGCCCCTCCGCCCCCCTGTCCTCCTGCCCCGTTCCTTTCCTCCCGATTTTGTTGGTGTGTCTTCGATTGAACTGATTCGAATTTTTCGTCACCGACCAATCCAGTTTATTGTCGCACGTTGCGTTAACCATAATCATCGCTCTTGGCATCTTGTCCAGACGACCTTTGTCTTGCCAACTGCACGCCCGTGCTAGCAATCGTCATGTTCTTGTATTCTATATTGCAGCTAGTAGTTCTTTATTACGGGTGCATTTTCTTATTCTGTGTTATTATTGTAATAATCATTAATACAGCTTTGTCAGTCCCGGGGTAAGGAGCCTTGCTTCGCTCGCTTAGTAGTATTCACCTCTAATTGGTTTTCCGTTTTTTTCCCGTAACGCAATTGATGTCCGTCTACTACCACGTGATTAGTTCAACATTGCCACCATGGCCATTATCGTCGTTCTAACCGAATTTGCGAGTTGAAGCAAAATCGAGTCGTCCACCTCAGCTGCCCAATCCCCTTTTCCTCTCATACAACGCGACTTTCTATATATATATATATATATATGTTCTATCGTCTAATTTATTTATCGATTTACTTTCCTCTACGCCTGTTGATTTACTAGTTCATTCGTACAATTAATGTTAAATATATTCATGACCTTACGATCGTTATTGTTATAATTGTTCTTATTTATTATTATCTTTCGTATTATTTAATCAGCAGCTCTACAGTTGGTGTTTCTTTCGGTCTCGCCTTTTCTCTCTCGGGTTCCTTTGACATGAGTTGTGTACGTATGTGTGTATGTGTGTGTCACTCTCTGTTAGGGTACAGGAAAAAAAGGAGTAGATGACAATTATGATCCTTCATCCTCCTTTTCATCTATCTCATTATTATCATCATTACTATTATTATTACTCTTGCTATTTTTCACGATCGAACTCACTCGATCCGCCTCTGTGGCATTCTGTTTTTCAGACTCGTTCCCTCTCACACAGACACACCCTCGTACTATCGTCTAGCCGTCGCCACGTCGATCTTGTTGCCTTTTCTTTCCTTTATCCTTTCACACCACCATCACCATGGTCTCTTTCTAGCCCTCACTTGCTTACGCTCCCGACACTCGCGCTTTTCATTTATCATTATTCTTGTACATAGTATTTTTTATGACTCTCTCGGCACAGGTGTCTCGAACGCCGATGTCCTGCCTTGTCTCCAATTACCTCGAGGGTACGCGTTTCCTCGTTGATCTTTTTCTCTGTGGCATTCCCTCGACCCCTTCATCTAAAACCTTTACCAAGCTATCAGATGCTTTTCTTTGACCCCTCTACAAACAACTACGCTTCTCGTTATTGTTAATATTATTACCGCTGGCTATATCCTGTTAGCCCTCAATTGCTTGAATCGTCAGCCACTTCGTGTCTTCTATTATCATTCAATCTATTTCTTGCAATTGCAGATACAACTGTGCTACCTTGAACAGCAGCGATTGCTAACTAGTTTTTTTTTTTTTCTATGTGATTTTTGTCCGTATGATCGGTCTATATGGATGTATGAGTGTATCTGTGGAGCCGACATACTCCGTCCCGCATGGCGGGGAGTGGGGGCAATTCTTCGACAGACATATGCCAACGGCTTCGAAGTCCAACGCAATCGAGGAAGTGACAAACGCGTTCGCTTTAATTACAACGATAATAATTAATGGTGGCTCGACTGCTAGGTGCTTTCCAAATTGCTGTCTGTGTAGTAAACTCCCTACCAGTCACGCTGAACTTTCGACGTAACTTTCACGATATAATTATTATATTAATGTAATTGCAGTAATAATTATCAACTGAAATAAAACTATCATTAGTTGACAAACAAATAAATAATGTATCGAATAGCAGCAGCAGCAGCAGCAGCAGCAGCAGTAGTAGTACGTTAATAACATATTACATAGTTGAATAAGAGGTAATTATAATCGTACCGCAACGATCCTGATCCTTTTCCCATCGATTCGTTGCTTTGCTCAGAATATTTCTACACGTCTCTTACCGTTATTTGACTTTTTCCTTCTTACTAATAAATATTAATTCCCTATTATAATAAAAACTAATATATCCCATTTAATTATAACGTAATTACCAAGAAATGAGCTTGCTCTTTGTGACTTACTAGTAATAACGTCATCCTCGTTACCATCGATAATAGAATGATCAATTGACGCTCGCAAAAGCCGTCCCTCGCTCGATCAGTGCCTAATGTTAGTCATTAAGCACGACTGCCATGACGTCCGTCGTGCTCTTCCCATTGTTATCATTGTACTGTTGTCAACATAAATAATTTCTGCTATTATCATCATCATCATCGTCGTCGTCGTCGTCGTCATTTTTCATCCCTATATACACATGTTTCTTCACTGCTATGATAATTCTTCTTGTCATTTAATCAATAATTGTTGCAGTAGTTCATAATAGTAGTAGTAATAGTAGTAGTAGTAGTAGTAGTAGTAATAGTAGTAGTAGTAGTAGTAGTAGTAGTAGCAGCAGCAGCAGGAGCAGCAGCAGCAGCAGCAGCAGCAGCAGCAGCAGCAGCGTCTCTCCTTATCATAGGGATATTTAGTATCAGGATATTGTGCTGTATGTGTTGCCCGTTGTCTGATCACCAATTCTCCTCGTTTTCCATTTGACTTCTCTATTTAGCACTCATTTCTACACTGTCACGTTTTGTTACTGTTTCTTTATCATTTGTTGAGTTGCCACCGTCCGACCAGCAGATACGGGAGAGTAAAGCAGTCCTGTAGTAATGGTACCATTCGCACAAATTGGCATAACCGACCGAGCACGGAATAGTTTCGTTACCGTGCATAAAACAGTACTATTATCCGCTTCGTCCCGCCAGTGTCCTGCTTCCCGCCGTTCATTCTCGACTCTGTCATTCAGCTTCCTTTTGGCCCTACTTCGTTACCAAGCCGCTCGTCAAGCTCTGCCTTCTAGCTTAGTGAATCTATCATCATTGTTTCACGCCTTCAACGTATCGATGTATATCCCCACAACCAATATATAGCAACCCTATCAGATGTCTAACTGACGGGTACAGTAAAATTGTTTCAATAGTCCCGTAAAGTTTTGGCTTCTCATAGGCCTAGCCTAACGTGCATTATACTGAAGATGGCACACGCGTTTCTGCCGTAGAAAGAATCGCTTAGCTCTTCGGACCAGCTACGAAGAAAAACATGGCAAAAACAAGAAAAGTCCGTCATCTGTCGAGTTGCGCCCATTAAATTACCTACTAATTAATCAGTAAAGCCGCAAGAAATGTTTAGCAACAGATGTTTTGTAAACATCTGATCTGGTCTCCATATTTTTATCAATCGTGTATGCATTGCTGCCCATCACATGGATCTTCTCGCTTCTATTTCGTACGTTTTTTTTTTGATGGCATTACTTTTACAGAGGTTTTTCATTCATCATCTCCAACGACTGCCCTTCATAATTTAGTTCAACGACTATCAGTAGAATAAAATTTTCGTATCTGATGGATAAGCTGGTAGCTCCCAGAACTCTCGTTTGACCATACCGTTTTCAAGAGATAGCTTGTAAGGCCAACCTACCAATACCGACTTAGCAAGACAACCCGTTCTCTAACCCAGTCCGTTTCTCTAACGCAGATTGAACACAAAAGTACAGCACAATTGGAAAAGTGCAAACGTAACTGCGTGCCTAGTTTTAGGTTTATCTGTGATCGGAAAATGAAATTACCATTCAGAACGTTAAAAGCGAAACAGGTCACGAGCCTAGGGCAGGGGCATACAAAAGACAAATCAAGGAAAGCTACACAAAATCGATGTAATGGAGCTATATACACATCTTTTTTAGCTTTCCTTATCCCAAAGACTCAGAGAGAAATGGCCTTGTCTAATTACCATTAAGCATGTGCCAGAAATGTCTAGGACAAACCGATTTGCAAAAAAGCAACTATCCAATTCTTTACTATAATACCGGTCGTTACAACACCTGCTCTTTCTTTCCATTATCCCACAGAGGCCAGATCATGCGCTGTGCGCATGTACATTCGCTCTGGCCGCATTTATACACGGGGCTGTTAAGCTGTGGCTCCTTACGATAACGTCTGACCAGGACATGGGTGCTTTCACCTGGGTTCAAGGACACCGGATGTGAACGCACCTTCCCGATCCGTTTCCTAACCTCCTATTACGCCACCATATATGGGCTTACAGCTTACTGGCGATTCACTGAGGCATTGTACCCCCTGCTAATTGATTGACGGTAATAGCCGACGTCTCCTGAAGGTCGTGTCGTGTCCACGACGGCAGCTCGTAGGCAACTGTAGGCCACTTGACATTTCTCTAGTCCACTCTATTCGATATTGGTATCCATTTATAATATATCATGACAATCCGTATGCATCCATTGTGGCTCGCTAGAGTAGCGATTGCTGTATGAACCTATCGCGTAAGGTTTCGTTTCGTCTTAGTGTACTTCATAGACTCGACTTTAAAAACAGAATAGTTACGGCGATAGTACTACTCCTCCTTCCGCCAGGTATAGCGGTGCTCGCCTTTTTCCCGATTAGATAGCCTGTCGACCCAGTAATGCTGTTTCCGTGCTGGTATGACGTGGGTCGTGCGACGTGAGGTGGTGTCTCTTCTAAATATATGACGCGCCAACCCGTCGTTCAGTGATCGGTTTCGTTTTCTACGCGTCTTTCAGCTCGTTCGAGAATGTTGCCGGATTCGAACATCGCATTGCTTCGTCAACTCTTATCTGTTTCCATCCACCCGTCTTCCTAAATCCTGCTGCTGTTGTTGTTGTTGTTGTTGTTGATGCTGATGTTGTTGTTGTTGTTGTTGTTGTTGTTGTTGTTTGCTTTTCCTTCCACTCTGCGATCCACCTGAATCCACATTTTCGGTTCGTCATGCTTTCACATTACCTCAGTCTGCAGTTGTTGCTGAATGCACACCGACTAGAAATAGACAGAGAAAAGAGAAAATAACACAAAGACAGCACAACAACAACAACAACAACAACAACAACAGAGAAGAGAACAACAACAACAACAACAACAACAAACAAACAAAGCCTCGTGTCATGACTATAGGGCCACCTATTCAGCTGCTGCTGGTGCTGCTGCTGTTCCCGCCACAGAACTAGGCCACACAGGTTTACTATAGATCTAGAATCAAGTCCTTCGTGTCTCTTACTATGCTTACTTGTTTTAAGCTTGAAAGTTTAGGGTTACTGAGGTCATTTAACTATGACACTATAAAGTTTCTACAACTAGAAGTAGAAAAAACGGATCCAAAATACAAGCAATATTTGGTCAAGCCTTAATACACTATGTCCCTGCTTTTACTAAAATGTTTTTCAGTTTTAATAAAGGAAAAAAAAACAGGTCTTTTAGCCACTAACACTTGATTAGCAGCTAGTTGATTCTCTGACATGAAACATTTTTCACTATCGAGAAGTAGTATCAGCTAGTTATGTGCCCAGTGGGTTACCTGAAACTACGGGCCCAACGAAGTTTCGACAGCAACAAAGTAAGTCGATTTAGCATAAAAACCAGACAACTACTACTACTACTACTACTACTACTACTACTACTCTACTACTACTACTCTACTACTACTCTACTACTACTACTACTACTACTACTACTACTACTACTCCTACTACTACTCCTACTACTACTACTACTGTAGTAGTAGTAGACTACTAATACAGTCCTCGTTAGCCAAAGTAATCGCTCACCCCTTGTCAATGTATGTTTTCACGGGCCCTCACAGAGACCATCACAACGATTCTAACATCTACATGGTCAGGGGGTGAGACCTAATAAAAAACCATTAACTGATTGGAAACACATCAGCTTTCAGTTAAGTGATTCCACAGTACAATTTCATATCGTTTTTATTGATTTGTTCAAATGTTTTGACTAAGCGTCTTAAATAGGGACGTTGGCTATCACCTTGAACGGATGTGAACGTTTTCCTTCAGTGATACTCTTTATCTGAAGGCTCTATTCCGCTATTCGGAATATTGTCACAATGTATTCAAACAATATTGAAATTTTCCAATTTAGTTCAGACCTTCAAAACGATTTTTGTTTTAACTGTTGATATTGAATTTTGCAATAAATATGGACGGCATTACTATTGGCATCGTGAGCCTGTCAACTTTCTACTGCCGACACTAATCGCTGTTGGATAACACCAACGAAATTTAAGTTAACAAAAATCTTTTCCGATACTAACATTTGTCAGCTGGGCACGCGCGGCACCTTGCACAAGTGTACGTTCCACCTGCGGTGTTGTCGATTTATAAACCGAGTTGTTTGTTTTACCAGCCCTGCCCTCAACCCCCTCAATTTTCTCGCGCCTCCTGGATGCTTCCTGCGTCCTGTACTATAGACCAGTCGATAATAGGAACCCACTCGATCACCGCCTACGCCAATCCAATTAACTATTTGTCTATTTGTTTACGGGACGCGAGTTTCCTTTACAAAAACGTTCTGCAGTAGGATAAGCTTTTGGGTGGCGTTTACTTTCAGCTTGGCCCGGCACCGTATGAAGTCTGGGGTAGCTAAAGGGAACGAGTCGATATGAAAATTAGAGTAGATCCTACACGATAAATAGGCTCTTTGGCCTATGCACTCGAACGATGACAGTCGGTTCTGGTTCACTCCATCAGCATTATTGCTGCGTGTTTCGCACAAGGGTTCACCTATTTGAGATTCACTTGCCCGCACAAGGCAAGCAATCATAGCCCTCATATTTGGGAGACGGAGAAAAATGTTACAGGGATCGATAGGCGTCGTGATTTTGTATCACAATCCTTTCACGTTTGTGCTTTTTTTTAGTGTCAGATTGACTCCTGTCTGCAATGTATTACTCATCTCGACTGTGTGATCGTGGTAACGGGCGGGGCCCTATTCATCAGGTGTGTATCATTGGTAATCTAGCAGGATGACCATTATCGATATATTAATAATAATAATAATGCTAATTACTTGACACTGATAGGTGAGTGAATGATGTTCGTAATGACAGATAGTGGTAATGGTGATAGATTGATGATGGTGTCGATGTTCTCGGTCGGACTCGTTAGCCGGCACCCACCTGCGGGTTCTGGATGGCCATCTGTTGAACTTTCTGCCAGAATTCCTGGCGCTGCTTTTCCTTGGTCTCGTCGAGTCCGCTCTCCTCCTCAAACTTCTTCACACACTCGTTGAACAGCGTTTGGTTAATCTCCATGAACTGCTTCAAGGCTCCGTAAATAAGCCCATAGATCGTCTTGTTCCAATGACTTTCTCGGTTTTTGTACAGCGCGGGAAACATAATAGGCAATATTTCCTATTGAACGAAATAACGAACACGATACATACGTTGATTTTCCATCATTGTACTCTTCTGTTGAATTTTCACGTTCAGACGGTTAGGGAATACAAAATATGCATAGATCAGTTCACACCATTAGAATGCTTGTAATCACGCATATGATCGACGATGACACGTTCCAGGTCTAGGTGCTTTTTCCTATTGATCGCTTAAGTTCATTTGCTGGTAACGACGCTACATTTAGTCACTGTTCTATTCCGCGAGCTACAGAGCGCGAAACTACGACGTAGCTACTATCATAGAGTGCCCTACAGAACATAAGACTTACATGCACATTGTCCGAGATGAGTGACATGATGTATTCATTGTTACAGTAGTACAAGGCCCTTTCGGCCACCTGAAAGTGTGGCGAACTGACACAGCGTGCCAGCTGTTTGAAAAGTGGGACCTGAATTTTTTGAAACTCTGCCGGTTCGATGACGTCCAAGATCTCCTCTAGCTCATTCAGAAACATCACCTCCTTAGGACTGTGCACCTGTTACAGATGTAAACAATCGGCAAAGAAGGGTCGTTATTATGATAACGGCAGAATAGTTTAATGACCACGTTTTTTCGCGGCTTTGCGACGACGCTACGATAAAGGTAGATTTATAATTCTTTTTTGCCCCCTGCTGGGCCTCTGAAGCCTCGCCTTTTATTTTGCAAGGTACGTTTTGCAAAGGTTCCTATTGATATAATAATAATAATAATAACAACAGTGGAAGCTAGATGAAGACTTTACGTTCCTGGCGTCTTTTCAAAGCTGACAAGAAGCCGATCCGGTCCGAAAATCTCCCGGAAGTTTCGATGATTGGTCAGCAATCGCAAGATAACATTATGTCAAACGCCAACTGAGTCAACCTACAAACGTACTTCTATAGCCAAAAGAATATCAACTGAAGACCGCATTGCAGGCCAAGAAAATGGCATCAGACGGTCTAGGACACTACCGTCAACAGTAGAAGGTTCAGTATTTTGCACGATTTTATCAAGAAGAACTTAAGAAAAAAGTGATAAAACGCTAACTCGTCATGTAGTAGGCAAATAATACGTATGGACGTGTATACGGAACAACTAATAAAATGAAATTGCACACGCTCCAACTCCAAGGATCTATTGAAAATCATTTACGGTTAACAATAAAGATATCTGTGAACATTCGTACTATCTCTAAATACTATAGATTTCTTGAATCATAGGATGGACGTCTCAACGCCTTGATTTAATCAGGGAACTTACGGTAATAGTGTAACGAGATCTTGATTTATATCGGCCTAATGGAACAATCCCAGAGCAATAAAAAAGAAATGCAGTCCTGCTGCGGTATTGCCTCATAAGTCGACCTAAAAAGATTTTCATCTACTCGTAATTTGTAGTCATTCGCTATTTATTAGACCGACACTTTTCAACCATTACCTTTGGCCAGAATTTGAGTAGCGATAAGATGACCGGCTTCGTCAGCGAGGGATCTTTCTCGAGGAATTGTACAACACAATATGCCAGCTGAGGATGGTAAACTGATAGTGATTTGACCTTGTGTAACGGCATGAGAACTTTTAGAAGGAATACTTTGTGCTCTTCTTTCAGTGGTAGCGCGAAACCATTGATGATGGAGCCGAGAATCTCCAACAGCTCGGCGACCCCGTTGTGCCGCTCTGTCTCATAGATGAATCGGTAGAAGATGTTGTTGATCTGTTTGCGAATGTAGCCGCGAAGAGACAGGAACTTGCCGTAGATGCGGTGCAGTGTTGTCTTTAGAAAGTCACGCTCGCGCGGGTCTTCGCTATCGAAGAGCTCGAGCAGCTGCAGAACAAACCGATGATCAATGCACCTTTTGGCGAGCGTCGGCTGGAAGTTTGCTGATTCAAGGAACCTATTCGCGAGACGCAGCGTTCGGAACACAGGCGATTTCATACATAACAAACGAAGCACACGTTAGTCACCTATTTACAATGTAAAATCACAGGATGAGAATGAATCGAATAAGGATTGTCGTTGCATGAAGTATGTTCGTACAGTAACAATAGGAATCGAAGAAATATGGCTGGCGCCAAACTTTCGATTGAAAATAGCGTTAAAGATTATTATCCGTAACATCGAAATTAATTTCATCCAATCCCAAGAAATGCAAAAATCCCTAATCTAATTCCTTTGATTTTTGGCCTTACAGTAAAACATGGGAGCCAGTTGGTCTATTCCAATACAGTCGCTAAAAACAGTCGTATAGTGGACAACCTGGCTCTATTAGGACGATCCAAACGAATCGGATAGGATTATGACGTGACAGTACATAACGATTAAGGATCAACTTGGCCAGTCCTACAAATGAACTTCACGGCTTCTGATTGATAAAGCCTTTTCTCATTTTAGCAAGTTTAAGACGCGATAAGCGATTCCATCGATCCAGCATATGCCTTCACTCAAAGAGACAACACTACGCGCTCGAGTATTGTCTATGTCAGGTCGTAATACCTGTATTCACCTAATGTTTACTGCGGCCGCCGACTCGTACCTGAGAAAGAGTTCATAAACAAGCTGGAGATGCGGCCAGGCTGCCTCAAGTGTAGGCTCATCCTCTTCAGGGTCAAACTCAGCGCCATTTGGATTACTTGACGGTGGCAGCGTCCGGAACACGTTCGTGGCAAACATGCGCGTTATCTCGCCTAAAATAAACATTAAAACACCAAATAAAACTCATCACCGTATATACTTATTGGTCCCGATATGGGTTTTTTTGGTAAGGTTCGTTCATTTTGTTGGCTTTCTTGCTCCACCAAAATTAAAAAAAAAAAACAATTGTTTTTCGTGAAGCTATATCGACCTTGGCACACCGAGAAGATCTGTCTGTCGCTGCGCTATGAACCTAACTTTTTTCTCTCAAATCAAAGGAGAGGATAGAAATATACCAGCTTACTTTTCATCATGGTGTCGTTTATTGGTATGGCATTAGGTTTGTTAATTGATGCTAACGTTAGATGATCAGCTGCCGCTTCCCCGGTTCTACCTGACGTCAAACGTCCGCTTCGGTCGGACCGCATGTCGCAGCCACTCGGCTGCGAGATATTTTATGTCCGGCAACTTTTTGACCAGTATCATTGAGGAATTGGGTGGATTCGCTATACCCAGATCCAAAGGTACATATTTATTGATTCAATATTAATGAGACCAGACAAAAAGTACAAGCAGATTCTTTATTATTCCTCCATTTCTTTATTATATCCTTATTTTTCCGCTCAGGCGATAAACCTCGGCAATTGAATGTTTTTGATATTCATATGGACTGGTATTTAGCGAGATCTTGGGACTTAACTTTGCTTGTTGATGCTGCCAAAAGTGACAGACCCAGTTTGTGACCAGATCGAGACACCCGACAATTAGATTGTTACGTTCACCCAATGATGCGACGTCCGCGATATATCGACAATATTGAAATCAAATGCTGCGAATAGATCTGCGGCTTGCCACTGACTCTCAGCAATTAGTTGTCCACTCTAGGAACTGACTTCGTTTGTTTTAATTTATCTTTATTTGGCTTTCGGAGAGGTCTATAATGACCTTTTCGCCCTTTGACAAAGCACAAATCGCTTCAATTAACGCGAAAATGTAACCTTGCTTTAGTATAATTTTCACTGATTAAACCGAGTACAATTTAAGAGCTACTATGTTATTGTGATAGTAGTTGCTTATGATACATCCCTTGACGTATCAAACCGATATGAGTGCTTCAGCTAACAAGAGATTTCTCTTATTTGTATGTTACTAGGAAACTTACTTTTTTTAGTATATTATTAGTCTCGTAGTATTTTTCGGTGCAGTGGAATAGACCTGTTGTCCTTACCAAACGATTTCCCGACATGTACCACTCATCTAAGGGTGCACATCGTCTCTTTGACGTTCATATAGAAGCGACGTACGGCCGCGTCAAGTTAGATAATGCGGCCGTGTCTTGGTGTTTCGACTTGAACCATATATTCTCTTAGCATTGGTCTTTTTAACTATACAAGTAGAGAAGCATTTGTTCGTCTGCCTAATTGCAAACGGTTGATCGGCACATTTAAGGATGAATCTCTAAAAGCATCACGGACTCACGCAAATCGAGGTTGTAGGGAAAGGATATGATAGCGACCGAATATGTTAGAACATTTGAATTAAAATACAATGATAAAAAACGTACGTTACATGTACAATATCTCTTCGTCCCTGACGATACAGCAGATTATCCTCGTTTCTACTACACTACGCTGAAGTCATTGCAGCGTCTGTGAAGGTAGTCATTCAGTTACTCATCGAGACCTACCATAGACCGGTTCGGTGATCGCTCCTCGTTGTGTACTCAGGTAGTCTAGCATTTCATGAAGCGCTGCCCTCTTGACCTCCTTCCATTTGATGTCGGACAGGGGATCACTGACGAAATCGAAGATCACACAGCACTGTTGCATCTTCTTAATCAGGAGCGCTTCACGCTCCTCTGGAGCAGCATCTGCAATGAGTTGAGGCAAAAATTGATAAACGCTTATCAATTTTAAATGAATTCTCTCTCAGACAATAAATGAATTCTCGGAACGCGTAATATGGCGCAATAAATTAACACGCAGCTTCAAGTTAAAGGCCTATAGCTACCCAGGGTATAGCGATACGATTTTAACTCGACGCCCAAAGCGTTATTCAATTCGGTAGCAGCTGTGTCTCAGGGGGTAGAGCGGGGTAAGAATTATCTAGATACTAGAAATTGTGTAAACATCCTCCGGAATCCATCGATGTATGTATTGGCCCAGACTGAATGTAAGCAAGTCCTTGTTTGTTGTCGACAAATAGCACGCAATTTATTACATTCTCGGATGGGCGCCAAGGCCGTCGCGCGCCATGCGCATACAAATCGGCCGTCGCAAAAACGTCGGTTCAGAGCGATCATCTGATGTCCCGGCTTATCTATTGATGGAATTTGACGCTATACGGTGGCGTGAGCGCTTTTGCTCGCAGCTCTGAAAGGTTTCCATAAGGTTCTCGCATACACGGTTCCGTGATGACTCTGTCGCTGCTGTCACGTTTTAGCATGCACAACTAATTTTTTTTATAGCCGACTCCCCTCTCTAGTTTAAAAACAACGTGCATATTTTATTCTGTTTACCGTCGTATTCGCGACTCGCCAGTATATCAAGTGCCTTCCTTTAACTAGTAGTCACGAAACATTTGTTTTGAAAAGAAGAGGCGTTTCTCACGATGTAAACCAAACTCTCATTACTCCTTTAGAGATCTTCTGTGAAAGAATCCCGATGGCCCTTTTTTGTTACCAGGTTTTGCTAACTTGCATAATACAGATTTTATTGCGACAACCGCAACTAAATGCCAGAGAAGCGTCATTTTCCACCCCGCTACCCTTCCTTCTAAGAGCCAACACAACGACAATGACTAGAATGGTCTTCCGTCCAGAGTTCCATATGTACTATGTTTTCCCGATGACAATCATCAATAGGATAGTTGTGTATCGTTTATGGTCTCCTCCTCGCCCTAGCCGACCTTTAGACGCTCTCATCACAGGATGGCAACATGCTCCTTTCCAGCGTCGTCCATAGCTGTTTTCTACCTCTACCCCTTTCTCTCTGTTCGTCTGTCTGCATGATAACCCCCCGCGCTGCCGATAACCGCCTCTGCTGATAACGATTCGTATTTGACGATTGCTCGTAGAGACAACTGGTAACGACAACAGTAGCGAGAGCTACATCACCGACAACGTGCACATAATGATAGGGGACACGGAAAGCTAGTGACGTTCATTACGGCCATGGTAACCACTAATCTGCAGCTGAATGCGTCCTTTTATAATGTCACTTCTTATGACAGCCAAACGATGGACAGCGTGCAGAGTTTCTTTTGTTGTTATTGTATTGTGATTGCCCTCGCTACCATTAGTTTTACTATGCCCATTATTATTGTTACAGATTTGTAACCTAACAAGAAGCACATGATATACTGTCACACTCGGTCAACTAGACGCTTCTACCAGAGAACGCGTTTAGAGCGGGACAGTTGAACCTTGACAGACTCTAGTACCAAAGAGACACACACAAATACATGGACAGATCGGGTCAAAAACAAAGGCTAAAGGCAAAGATATAACAACCAGCGCTGCTACCGACGTGACCACGCGTCGCCTTACCTACAGCCGTAAAGGACACGGCGCTATCCAGCCTGACAACTTAGCAACATATTATGTACGACTGGCAGTCGACTTCATTGACGCAAGACGTAATACCATTTCGATTCGCAAGTGGGTTTGTGGTCAACGCCTTACTTTGCCGAAACAATGGGCAATGAAACAATTTTCGATTGTGAATGTTGGAGTGAGGTGAGGCACTGCACAGTATCCAAGATAAGTCGACGCCTTTTATGGCGCCATCCGACGCGCAGTGCTGCCACCATTCATAAACATCTTATTCCGCGACACGCAACTGGGAAACGCTTGCCGATGCCAGCAGCCCGAGACTAACATGGGTAAGTCGGTACGATAGATGCGTTAACCGTATGGAGATGGATCGAGGCAGTGAAGACATACAATCGATTCTTTGCAAAGCGGTCTTAACATCGTTTCTAGATGTTCAAAAATAAAGAAATCACTGAAAAACCCTAATGAGATGAAGCCAATAACGGTCGTTGTGGTTATGTCATTAAAATCAATTGCGCTCGTCTAAAGTAATAAAAACACGCCCTAAGTAGAGGAGGAGCTAATTATTGAACGATAAGTAAAAAACATGACATAACGTTTCCGGGTAATTTCTGTAACTAAGAGGTACGAGTCATCTAATAAATGCCGAACTCGAATACAAAATTTAATAATCAAGACAATTCCTAAATTATTCCTTATTATTATTATTATTATTAAATTATTCCTAAAAAAATATTTCAGCAATCCGAAAAAACGCATAGCATACCATTAACTACTTTGCCACCCTGAAGATTATTATCTTCGTAGCCAACGTGATTCATTTGTCAATAGGGGAAAATGTGCCCGCCCACCCACCCAAAGCTAAGTTTTTGTCGAAATAAGACCAACAACTGGACGCTGTTCACAAAATAGCCAATGTTATGCCACACTCTTAGAAACGAATGATTCGCCACGGTCTCTTCGAATGAGTTAGAAAACTGCATGTTACATTGGTCCTTCTCTATCAGGCCAATGGCAGGAGACTACGCGAACAGTTTCTCTACCTACAGTAGTCAAGCAAAGCAGTTCAATCTTGACGCAAATTCTGCTGACAATATTTAGTCAGCCCAATAGACTGCCTTTGCTCGTAGAGTCAGGTTAAACCAAGCCATCTTTTCAACCTGGCGCTTCTTCGCCCTAACGGACGTGCCCTTCTTTTCAACTTCGTGTATGTTGAGCTTCTATTCAGGACACCCCCATAAGCGCGGTTTGCAGCCACAAGCGACAACAACGACAACCCAGAAGACCTCTACAGCCAATTTTTGGTGCAAATGCCCTTTGAAAGCAACTGGTTACAGATACTATTAGGCGACGAAAGAGACAAACGACAAACTTATATATTGGGGATTTGCTTCAGATGAAGCCCAAAGGCACTTTCTGGGAATCACTTGCATCCCGGAATCCTTAAAGTTGATCCTAACCAATCGCAAGTTCTGCTCGTTCGCATCTTAGCGAGTTGAAAGACTTCACAGACGACCTCACCACTGAGAAAACACGTGTTGCCAACGTCTGTTTACAACTAAGCCGGTGTAAGCCGTAGTAATATGGTAGCACGCTGCTTCATCGCAAAGTACCATCGGTCAGACCGGAAAGTCTTCGCGTGCCTCAAGGCAAATTTACGACGTTCAAGCTATGACCAAGGCATATGATTGACGCTCACACAGCAGTTGAAATTCGAATCGAAGATCATTTTCTAGTAGCGCCACATTCAATATATTCGGGTTATCTTAATCAGATGTGATTTAGTGCTATATACAATCCAATAAAAACTATTCTTTAGACGTTGACAGATGATAATCGATTACCTTTCGTTCGCAAATTTCCTGTTGTGAACTTTAAGATTAAACACAGAACAGAATCAAAGAACTGCATTAAGGTATGATTGTTATATTGCCTTTTCTTCTATTATTAGATCTTTAAAATTTTCACAATCCTCCGGGCCGTCGCGCGAACCAAGTAACTACCATTATGAGGAACTACAGATCGAGTCACCTCAAACGAGGGTCGTTTGCTTCGCCGATGGCGATGAGATGAGTGAAGAAAAGCAAAAGAGCTGGCGCTTTAGTGGATAATACCCGCAATCGGTGAATATGGAGCCTATGCCATGTCAGGCAATAAACAACGTAATGGATTGGCAGACAATTACTCTAGATGCGATTGATGAAGACCACCTAAAGTAAGAACCATGCTGAACACAACATACTAATGTATAGCTTTCCTTGAGCCCCCCTCACCCGTACAATGTGCCTCTTTTTAGTTTTCTATAGCGTTTGCCTTTTCTATTTCCTACTATTTACCTTAGACAACATATGGCCACGTGTGAACATCAAGAACAAGAACAAGACATGTGCACTGCACGGTATACATTATATACTGTATCATTACATCTATAGGTAAAAAGAACGTCTAGTTTTATATGTACATACCTTTGATGGTGGGCAGATCCACAAGTTCCCTATTGGTAGTCAGGTTGAATCTGGACGAACTCTGTCGGCGTTCGCGTTTCACGTGCGTTGGCGACGTGTTGCCGCCTGTGTCCCGGGGATTCGTTGAACCCGATCCGGCGAGGGGTGCTCCACCGAGCCCACCGCCCCCGTTGGCGTATTTTTTCACTCCGGCCCCACCTCCGACCCCACCACCAACGCCTCCTCCTCCTCCTCCTCCACCGCCAGCGGCGGCGAGACTGCCCGGCGGGGCCAGGCCCCCGCCTTTGCCACCGTCCTTCATGTCTAAGGCGCCCTTCGATGAGTACGACGATATCTGTCGGAAGAAAAAATTTTCTAGGTATTCCATTTCGCACAACATCGTGGCTGCTGTTTTTATGTTGCTGTTGTTATTATTCACTCGTGTTGTTTGTGCGCGCCTACTTCATTATCATTGTCGTTGTCTTCTTCACTGTTCGTAGCCCGACAAAGCTCTAACCAGTTCCATAATAGTACTACGTTACCAGGCTGCCATGTGTTCCAGCGTTCCCGCTAAACGGTTGTGCAAGTACCGTAACGATGCTGGCCTTTCATGTTATTACAGAACATCGTAGTACGTTAAACACAAGCATAGTTTGCAACATAATCTATAGAAATCGTAGTTCTTAATAAAGCATAGATAGTGAAGAAACTCCAAACGAACACGACATGTCGCTCAGTCACTGCGTTGATGCTATTACAAATTGCTCATTACTCATCATTGTGCGAGTACCAATACACAACAACAATACACAAATCCAATTAATGAAACCAGTCCATGATTTCAGCGTCACCCCACACATCGTTTTTCATTTCTTTTCTTTAACGTCGAGCTAGCACTTCAGCTACTGCAAATGTGCCTATAGACACGAGTCACTGCAGGTAACTTTAGTATCGTCAACCTTGGTGAAGGAAAGTAAGACCTCTGGATCTGACCACGGTAGCACCTAGGCGATCGTAAACATCTCAATGTCCCCCTTATATCTTTTCTGCTTTCGAAATCGGCTCCAATTATGTGTACTCTCGGCTTCGTCGGCTTATTCAATCCGCCTCCTGTGTAGCTGTCGAGAATAATAGGTTACCGCTACGATATATCTACATCATTCAGTACGTTTGACACTTGTACATCGTCCATCTTGCTGATATGATGTCACTTTAGGACCACGGTCTGGCGGAAGCCCTACATACGAATGTAAGTCAAGTGACCAGGCCGTCCAGTCGCGTTCTCATTTGTGTTTACCGTGCTTGCCGTTTACGTCCGACGAAGACTTATACAACAGTTCTAAACAAAATCAAGCTAAGCCCTTGCAACAGCAGCAGCAGCAGCAGTCTCTGAAAGCCTCTTAAACGGCTCTCAATACCGCCGCAGAGGCCTTACATTCGCTTACTAGACAAGTTGTTTCTTTTTTTAGTTTGAATAATTTCTCCTGTGGCCCAGCAGTCGTTCGCGCGTAAAGTAGTTTTAGTTGAGACAGCGCAAGTCCAAGTAGCGTATCCAGCCGGCGCGGCGACGTCGGAGACACCGTTAGCAACACAAAGAAAGCTCAAGCCATGCCGCACTGAAGCAACATTTATATATAAGATGGAAGCCCTATGTGTCTTTGCCTGTGACGATAACCGGCGCACTTTTGTATCACTTGAACAATAACAACAACATTAAGATTTCGGTGGCGGGACCGCGATTCAAAACTGCGCATTTATCTGTTCTGTGTCCCCCGTGTTCGCGCACCTTTCGCAGCTGGGAGTAGCTGGCGTCACAACCAGAGTGCTACAAAGTTACTGTCAATGCTAAGTTTGACAGTTATTGCTACTGCTGACTAACTATAAACATACGTCGCGGTTCCCGCGGCTCTCCAGTTAAAATCACTGTCTGCTCGCCTGCCCGGTCGACTGGTGAAATGATCGCTCAGTCCCCGCTCCATCGGCCGTAACAGTTGGCAGACCACAGAGGCATACTAGGTATGTCACCAGCCGGCCGGCCGGCCGGCCGGCCGCAATTATGTTGGACGCCGTGATTAGCGGCTCAGCTCGATACAGAAAACAGATAGAGCTGCTGCTGACAGTGGGGGGAGCCGCCGAACTGCCGCTCATCGCTTCGCTCAGTTGTTGGCCGGTGCCCGGTGCTCGATGGAAAACTACAGTGAACATGCCAATGGCCACGCCGCAGCGGCACGATAACTTGCAGCAATGACATCAGGAAACTTCTGTCTGTGAACGCAGTGCGCGCCGAAGCCGGCCAGCCGGACTTCACGCTTCTTTCTTTTTCGCTAGACAGACTACCTTGCTCGATGTAATGTTATTCATATTGTAGAATGGCGAGTTTCCCTTGACGCGGTTGGTAGACTTCGGCCAGACAAAGGTCAATAGTATCTGTATCTCTCGTGAACGTCTCTTTCTGCAATCTTGTATCCTTCTTATCCGTTTCGAACTACGCGTGACGGCACTTTGGATAGATGCGAGAGCGATTTCCGTTCAAGATATGGCAGTTATGGCTAAATTAGGACTAGAAACAGCGGCCGGATGTTCGAGCGAGGCAAATTGCTAACACACCTAGTAACTAATGTGAACCCTTGCTGCGGTGTGTGAGACTAGGAAGCTATCATCGCTGTTGTTATCGTCACCAAGTTTTGGCTCAGTTTTTAAGCCAATTCGGCACGAGATTTTTTCTGATACTTTGGTGTTCTGTCGTTCTTCACGTTTGCTCCCTTTTTACCGCTGTCTGAATCTCTTCCTGACACACCAAATCACTACGCTAATCTATCACTACGCAGACTGCTTAGCCTATTACTCACGACCATCATGTTCCCATAGTATATATTTGACGCCTGGTACGTTGATATGGCGTTCCTCTTGCGCTCCCATCGGCTTGCCATAACGGCATCCTCATTAACAGATTTAATAAGACCAATCGTCAAGCAGCAACGACGAAGCAAAGTTGCTGCGATTGATAAAGCCGAGTTAAACAAGCGTAGCTGTGATCTGTATACATAACGCCATCCGAATCCATACGCAGTGTGTGGGGGGTAAAGGTTATAGGGTCGGACCCGTCAACCTTGCGTACCACCACTGCACGAACAGGGTGATTCACTACCTGTTCGTGCCCTCTTAGCCTGGTTCCCACTTTCCTTTAGTCGAATGCTGTCGGGAACACAGCGGTCAAAATAGGTAGCAAAGCAGCCAATATATTTTTGGTCTAGCACAAACAAAACGTCTAGCTTTCGTGAGGCCGAGAGCGCCCCTCGCGGCGACAACTAGTGAGGCTGCAAAGAACATGTCCCTATTATTTACAGCAGCCTGAGCAGCCTTGTCACGCAGCGTAAACTACCGCGGCACGACTCACGGCGTTAACTCGTTATGTTACCCCGGCAGCAAAACACTACCACGCACATATCGACCTACGCGAAAGTCCAATGACGCTATGGGACATTTTTACGTCAAAATGTTTCAAAAAATTCTCAAAACGTGTGAATTGAACGTGGGAAATTTAGATCGACACAGATAGCCAGAGCGAGTAACGAATTCGCTACACTCACAATAGACGACAGACAATCGGACACGGACACGATCGGCGTACGGACAAACGCCAAAAATTGAAAGCAAGCCTGTACACACGAAGTCGACGCTCGGTGGGGCAATCGTTTGATATGTGATTATACTAAGCAGGTTATCGCTATAGACAGATACAACGGAATGGACGCACAATGTGGGCAATCTTTACACTGCCCGAGGTAAGTTACTACGTGTCCGTCTCTCAGTATTCAGTTTGTTGTGCTTTGATCCGGTCTAATCTCAGTCGGTTAATCTGCGACGCTCGACAGTAGTTAGCACAGCAGCAGCAAGTTAGATCCTATCAGCTGCGGCAAGGTGTTTGCGCGTGTTAAGATATGGCCAAAAACAGCGTCGTTCAACATATCCAGAGTCGTTTTTTATGCCGAAAAACAATTGACTGATTGGTCCAGTCTTACGATCGCCATAAATACATACAGTTTGTATATCTTGAATTCTCGGTATGGCACGGTAGCTGTATTTTTATCTGTAGTCTTTCAAAGTGGTTGCTCTCTCAAAGTGGAGGCTAGTAGCAAGCAATAGACTGTGCTTTGCTAATTGTTTTGAACTGCTTGCTTTACAAGCGACCACTATGAATCGTAGTGTTTGATCACGAACGGGGAACTTTAGACATCATATGATAGCACGCCTAATACGGCTAGTAATTCAGCTGAGGACTTGGAATATACTGACGTAACCGGAAGTAACAGTCACCATATTACGTACCTTCGGTGATTGGGAAAAAGAGGTTCTTCTTAGCTTTTTCATTCGCGACATCAAATTACCCATAATGGTAAGAATCAAAATTTCTATGCTGGAAAACTTTTCTAAAAGTGGTTTTTTCCACAAGGTTAATTCGTACATGTCAAAGATTTTATCTCCAACTACTGCTTCTTAGAAACTAGTACGAAGTACGAAGTGCCCCATCTCCAACTACAAAAATGAAGTCATTAAAACCCAGCGTTGTTGTAACACCACTGGAACCACATAATAATAATCCCGTATAAAAGGGAGAGGTCTCATGTTAAAAACACAACGAAATATTCGGGAAAGCATGGCTCGTTTCCATTTCGAGTGGTTTAACACAACTCGGCGATCGGTATCATGCAGACGAACTATCCGACGCTTCGCAAACCAACAATAGCCGTTGTAGTTGGATAATGCGAATTTGGTGCACGTTGACTGTAGGAACGTCTCTCGCTTCAAAGTACCTTAAAATCGTTGCCTAAGGCTAACCAATCGCTTGTCGTTCCAGAAAGGCCAGCAATAACAGAAAAGATCTGTTGCACCAAAAGACAAGCACTTGCTTCAAACAGTTTTTAAATTGTCAAGTCTTTCACTCATACACACTTGATCCTCTAGTGATCTTGGACTGCCCAATCCGATCTTCGAAATCGAATCCTGTACCAATTTCCCCGGTTCCATAGAACTGCAATGTCAACAGCATGACAACTACGAGAAGGTGATCACTCTACGTGGGACGTTAATGTACTGTCCCGTCAGATAGCCAACCAACGCATGTGGCAAGTAAGCACAACACGTGACGTTGTATACGAGCGTCCCCACGGCAGCAAACGATGAAAACGTCTGACATTTACGAGAACCCGATCAACGAGAACAGAACTGGAGAACGGCAGGATTAACAGAGAGAAAGAGGGAGATGAAACGAAGCTACCCAATCGACAAACGTACACCCGAAGGGTAAATCATGTGTAGGCAAACAGCGGACCATGTGATAGGAACTCCGAAAAA